TTTATGGCTAAGGATTGAAAATTAAAAACAAAGTTTCCACATAACTAGTTAATTCTGCGCTAAAAAAATTTAAAAACTATACAAATATGCAGTTTTTTTAATAGTTATTTTAAGTTCGAATTTGGATGAAATTACCTATTAAATAACCAAAAATAAACATTTTAGCTATACTATTGAAATTTAAAAATATTATTCATAGGTACTTTAAATTACCTACCATGAATTACTGGATGAGTCGTGTGCATGATGAATCTGATTTGATTAATTTGGAATTTATTTTAGAAACCTAAATTTTTCCCGCTTTTTTTAGATTAAATTCCTAATAATAATTAATTATTTTTTACACAGTTCACTATTATGTTGTAATGCAGTATCATAATAATCGGAAATTCGAAATAAGGTATAATCGTGTTCAATAAAATGTTTTGAGATTGAGATTACAAAAATAATATATGATAAAAWAATAAATAAATATTTTGTAAAAAGAACGTTTCCCRATGTAGTRAAAATATTTACTAATTAGTAGGGGTGCTTTAAAAATAAATATAAACATAAAATATATATATTAGAGTACCTCCGTCCGTCCAGTCACCCGCATCGATTCAACCATCGCTGCAATAATGATCGCAGTATAATAACATGTATAATATTATATTGTATACATGCGTGATACTCTATTTCATCTGCTAAAATAATAAAMATCGACACCTACAAGCTATTGTTACAGGTTTCACCGATTACCAATTCAATAATATTAATTTTTAATCATATTATCGTCGACAGATAAAACATAGGTATAGTCGTATACAGCTGATATATATTTTTTACCTGCGCGTATCGTTTTCATAAACAAAAATATCGTCGCTGTTGTTCTTTTGTTCAAAACGATGATTAAACTATACATATTATTATTATATATGTATTCCAGACRAACGAGGTCGTCATCGATATACTTATACATMTTTTATACATATTATAGTATATTATACATACGGCATATGCACACGGTCACCTGCGTCGTAGATTGACCGTTCGGCGGATGTACAGCTGTTATCCAATACTCTTTGCCTCTTTGGTGTACATATCGATGCGTGCAGAATTACGAATGCAGTGAAACGCCTACACCACGACTAGCCGGGGAAAATATTTTTACATAATACTCATAATCTTTATAATATCAGAATATATTCGTGTGTTGTGTGAATTTAATAATCATTACGCAATATTGTGCGCATATACGCGTATTACACCCATCAGTCCCTAAAATATCCAAATTTTCGTACTACACACATAATCCCAAATCAGTCCAATCTAAATTATACATAGTACCTATCAATTATTATTAATAATAATATGTATTTACAATAAATAATTTTATTTACATAAAGTAGAACTTCTATTTAACAAATGTAAAGGTTATTTAAAAAAATTTGTGAAATAGAAATAGTAATAATAATAATAATACATAATATATGTAAATACGTAAATAAAAATAAATTTAAATTACCTATATTAAGTATGTAAATTATTATGGTTTTTTTTTTTATTCTTTGTGATCGAAGAACTTACTGATATCCTGTATTAATATCAGAGCCGTATTTAGGGGGGAGCTACAGGGTACTGTTGCCCCGGGTGGCTGAGTAGGAGAGGGGGGGCTAATTTTTTTATAATTTAAATTTGTATTTTGTATAATGATTAATGAGGCGTATTTTTTTGTTGCCCCTTGGTGTCAAATTCCTAAATAGRGCCCTGATTAATATTGTTGTTTTACAATTTTATAGAATATTATTATAAAGGTTTAATGTAAATAACAAACTTTTAAATTTCGTACTACACACTGAACTTCTCGTACTACACAAAGAGTGTCGTACTACACACAATTTTAGGGACTGACACATAAACCATGCGAACCCAGTAACGTGGTGATAATAAGTGATTTATGATATTTATACTAAACGGGCAAAACAAAATGTTATTTCATACAATTATTGTCTGCATATCATGGGCGTCTCCAGACGTTTTTCTAGKGGGAGAGGGAAGCATTTATCTTCAATAAATGAAGATCTTTTTATAAATTTAATGCTTACATTTTAAAATTAATCTATATTTACTAAATTGGTGCATTACAGATAGGAATGCTTTGGAAAACAAATTTAAAATTTTAGGGGGGGGGGCAAGTGCCACGTAGTCATCCCTAAGGACGCATATGCTATACCTACCACACATTATCAAGTTTTCAAATAGCCAACTCTATGTAAAAAAAGCAACTTATACACATTATTGTGCTTATACACCTACAAACTACTATAAGCTACATTATATATATCATGTATAAATTGTAGTGCATAAAAAAAGATGAACCCCAAATTTTTTTTATCAAATCATCAGAATAGTGCACACTGCACATGGTCTATAGTGTTTATACCTAACCATACATGTTAACCCATAGGTATATCGTATATGTATAAGTATGCAGTACGAATCTATGATATAAAATATTATTATTTTAAAAAAACATACAGAGAATCTTCGATCTCGTAAAGGTAAAGTAAGTATCGAATRTATTTTGTAGCCTCATAGTTGAGCAGATGTTAAGCAACTAAACTGGAACTGTAATTGTAATGGTAGTSTTAAGTATTTTAAAGATAAATACATGACCAAGATTCTATGATTAATATTTTTTACAAAAAAATAGTTACAAAAGTTTAAGGAAAATTTATATTATTCGTATAAATATAAAATTTGAAATTCAAAATATCAAATAATGCTATAAAAACAAATCGTAATACATTTTTCATATTTCAAAAATATATCTGTATCTAATTTAAACTTTTAATAACCTTGTGTCA